GCAGGGGAAGGGAGGGAGGGGGAGCCCAAGGGGGCAGCCGTGGCCATGGAGGCGGGCAGCGTGGCTGCCGCTGCTCCGTGCTGCTCCCCTGGCACCGGCCCCGGCCACCACGGCCTCACGGGTCACCCCAAAGGGCCCAGAAACGGCGCCTTTCCGCCTGACCACAGAACAGAGACTCCCGAAACCGCACTTCACAGCTACACGGCTTCAGCGCCACAGATCCCCGAGCGAGCCCTGTGCGCCTGCCGCTCCCTACAGGGGCTGTCACCGCTCCAGCCACCCCGAGGATGGGAGAAAATGCAACCAAAGGTGTTAGCAGCAGGTTTTTATACCGGGAAAAGGGAAGAATAAAGGAGAAAACAAGACCTTGAATTCATTTGCATCTTGATTACTGCGGAGATGTCTCAGTCTAAACCCTCGAGAGGAAATTAATGCCACTTCATTAAGAGGAAGCATCTAATTTGAATCAAGGTAATACAGTTTCCTTAATTCTGTGTATGTCTCAGAGACACAAGAAGACATTGCTGTGTAATGACCTGGGAAAGCCGAGTTTAGGGGAACACGTCCACCCCAGGATGATGGTGATGGCCCCGGATGATGGAGCCGCTCACTCGGCCATCACCCGGCAGCCCACAGGGTCCCTGGCTGGGAGCAGCCTTTGAGCAGCCGCAGCGGCAGCGCCCGGCTTCACCACCACAGCCCCAGAGCGGGGAGCGACCTGCGGGCAGAGCGGGTGCCCGAAATACGAGCAGACACCCGCTGCTGCAGAGAGCGGCCAAACTGCTGTGAGCAGATGCACAGAGACAGGGGCCGGGGCACGGACCTGCTCTGGACCCCACGGGTCTCCCCATCTTCTCCAGTCTCCCCTTGAGCTCCTGCGCTGGACAGACCCAACCACGGCTCCATCGCCCCTGCCCAGGCCACCCCAGCACTGCCAAATCTCCTCCCAGGCTGCACATTTCTGCCTTCTCCACATCCTCCCCAGGGGCCATGGTCAGGTCAGAGCCCACCACCTGATGTGTGGATCTGGGGCTGTTTCCCCGGTCATTTACACTTATTTACACTGCCCACTGGTTATCACGGGGTCATCCCCTGTTTTCTCACAGCTCCTGTAATTCATCACAACGGGAGCCCCCTTCACGCTCCTCGTTTTCGCAGCCCTGACCACAGAGACGAGCGCAGGGTCCCAGGTTCAGGGCTGCAGCCACAGACGCCGGCTGCACTCCTTGGACTGCCCGGTGCTGCCCTTCAATCCCCGCTTGCTCCGTGTGGACACGAACGGCTGGAAGCCAGGGGAGCACACAGGTTTCACAAGGTGGGAAGTTGGACCTGAGAAACGTCTGCTCTGAGAAGAGCCCCGGCAGGATCCCCAAGCACGCCGATTAACTTGATGAGTGACTGGGAAGACAGCAGTGACCACCTCCCTGACCGCACAGCTCTGATTTCCACACGGGAAGCTGCTATGCCGAGGTAACTCGTACTCGTGTACGCCCAGCACCGCGCTGCAGTATTTGGTGTTTCGCTGCCCAAAGCACTGCCTTCGCTCCCCCACCCGAGCTCACAGGAGATGGAGATGGCAGCAGGGGAAGCTCAGCCTCGGCTGTGGAGCAGCTCCCACAGCTTTGCTTGAAGCCATTCTGCTCCTCGTTAGGGTTTGTTGCTAGGAGACCAAGGATTGTCTCAGTTATAGACGAGAAGTAACTGCAATCTCCGTATCGCCTACCTGACAGAAAGGGACGTATCAGGAGAAGCAGACTGTACAGAAAACCCTCTTTTCCAGCTCTGAAGTGACAGCTGCCCTGCCCCTGCCCGTGCAGCGATGGGAGCGGAGCAGGGGGTGCATGCAGCACAGCACACAGCAGCAGCCCCATGCACCGCGCAGCCCCGGGGCCGCCAGGAGCCGTGAGCAGCCCCAGCCACCCCGCGTGCAGGAACCTCCCTGCATCGCGTGTCCCGTCCGTGCCAGAGGCCGACAAACCCCAGACGAACAGCAGCGGGTTTGCTCGGTAACATCCAGATTCAGCCCTGGAACCGCCTGCCTCTCTCTCCCCAGCGCAGGACATGCTGCAGAGCACAGGCCATGCAATGCAGCCACGCAGCAGCGCTTCCACCCCCTCTGAACCCGGTCCTTCTAGGAGCAACGCAACCCACAGGCTCTCACTGCCCCAACGCTGCCACAGCAGGGCAGCTGCAGCGCCTCCTTCGTCTTCTCTCTTCCCACACTCCGACTCCTCACTTTGGTTCTAACAGGACCGCTCTGGGCACCCCACCGGGACCCGCAGCGGGCCACAGGGCAGCAGGGTTGCAGCATCTCACCTGGAGGAAGCTCACCCTGGCTAAAGGAAGGAGGCCAGGGACCATTGCCAGAGATGGGAGCGGCTGCAGCCCTAGGAAGAGCAGGGGCTCCGTGTGGGTCGGCGAGCGCCCACGGCTCCGAAACCTCCGGGAGCAGCAGCCCACGCAGCTCACTGCGGCAGTGGCTCCACACAAGGGATGCGGTGAGGGAAGTGCTTTCCTTTCAGAAGCAAAGCTCGCTTTGCATTCTCAAGCAGACAGTGGCCACGGCAGCTGCGGCGTGCAGTACCGTAAAGACACTCCAAGTCCTGCTGCCCTGAGATCAGCCAGCTCCTGAAGAGACGCAGGTGGTAGGAGCACTGCTGGAGGTGGTGCGCTAGAGCGGCATCCAGGGAGATGTTCCGGCTCGTTGCATAGTCAGAGGAAAAGCGGCGCAGCAACTGGGCAACGTGGTGGTGCTCAATGGCATCTGGAGGAGAGGGGCCACAGCGTGAGGAGCGGGGCAGGAGCCGGCGGGACAGACGCGGTGGAGAGGTGGGGATGGGCTGCCAGGCACCGCAGCCCGGTCCCTCCCGGCCTGCAGAGCCTCTGCCAAACGCAGCCGCAGCGCAGGGCGCCCTGAGCAGCCAGGGCTCCTCTCCACGAGCAGAAGCCTGACGAGCAAACACATCTCAGGACACGACCCATGCTCAGCACAGCTCAGATTTGGCTGGGGAAGGTCAGTCCTGCTTCCCAGCGCAGCCATCCTGGCACACGGACAGAGCAAACGACGCCGCACACACGAGCGGGGCTGCAGAGGGGACGCTGGGGACAGCACAGCGCTGGAGTGTGGAGAACGGGACACAGAGGGGTGACCTCCCCTCTCTGACCCGCAGGACAGCCCCATGCCATCCTCTGCGATTCCCCCACACGGCAGACAGGACACGGCTGCTCCACAGACACAGCCCCAGCGCTCACGGGACCAGGGCGTAAAGCATCAGACCTGACGCTGTGCTGGCCACTGCTCTGGATCACCCTTCCCGTTCCAGGAACAAAATCCATGTTCAGAGCTGTGAACAGCTTCTGCGTCCTCAGGCGACCGGTTCCTGGCCTGAGCATCCTTCCTGCCAACACCAGTGCCAAGCCTCGACCAAATGTGCCTGACTCGCAGCTCACCCCTGCCGGACCTCTGCCTTTGCTTTCTTGATCAAGGAGCATTTGCCATTGGAAATATTCACTGGGTTCTTGGGAAAACCTGATGCCAGTTTCACTTCGGGGCAGGGGCAGTTTGGCTTAGCGGACTGGTGCTTGGCACAGCTTTGCTGGCGAGACTGAACGACACATCCGCCGACACAGACGTGAGCGCAGATGGCATCCAGACGAACACACAGACCGAGCGGTTGGCCACTCTGGGGAAAACAAAACTGAGCAAACACAGAAAATAGGCTCCCTTCAGATATCTGAAACAGTAAAGCCACATTCAGCTGCCCCTTCACCTTTCATCTTTCCCAAAACTTTGGTCTTCGTAACAGTCTTCTGAGCTTCTTCCACCTTCCAGGTCACGCAGAGCAGAATTTCTCCATACTGGCTACACAACAAGGTTGTCGCATAAACAGAGATGCTTAACCCGGCATCTCTCAGCACCTGCTCTGGTTCTAACTGGTCTCAGCAGCAGCAGCCGTGAGATGGGAGCGGTGCTGCGAAACGAACCTTTCCTTGGGTAACAACCCTGGTTCCAGGCACCTGCTCCCACAGAGCTCAGGGTCTGCACCCCGAAAGACCCGGAGCTGTGTTAGCAGCGATATGAACAGACAGCGAGCGGACAGGAGCACCCACGTCCCCCTCAGCGGCCAGCACGGACGTGTGAGCAGCTCTCAGCACCACGGTGGTGCTGGTCCCTCCTGCCCTGCCCCAGTCAGCTCTGCCCACCAGCAGGAGAGCGGGGGACACCTGCAGGAAGGGTCCCACCAGCACCACAGAGCCCTGCCCTGGCAGACCGGGGTGCAGAGAGGAAGCCACCTCTAGGAGGCTACGGGCTCTCCTAGGGGCGCTGGGGAACCCCTGCGCAGGGTTAGTGCCCACGCAGACTGTGCTCCTCGGGGCAACACAGGGGCACCCTTGGGCTGTCCTTGCTCTGCTCCTGCAAACCTGCGCTGCAGAAACTGGGGACCTGAGCTGCTGATGCTCTTACAGCACATGGAGTGGGTATCTGCCCCCCAAAATCCAGTGGCGTTCTCCCTCCGACCCCCACCCTCCAGAAAGGGTGCGTGAAAGGAGGCCGTGAGGTCAGCAGTGCAGTTAGAAGCTGCTTTAGGGGTCCGTCCGCAGAGCCACTGCTGGAGCTGTTTCACTGGGACACAAAGGCCTGGGGGACAGCAGAGGGACCACTGAGCGGTGACGATGAGCGAGCAGGTTAGTCACAGACGATGGGGGGTGAGGCACGACACCGGGCACACAGACACAGAAACCACGGGAGGGCTGAGAGGAGAGCATGTGCAGAGAGAACGGGACGTGAGCATGGGGTTAAAGTGTGAGGGAACGTCAAATCAAGGAAGCAAACGTACCATTAGTCGGATGCTTTGCAAACGACACAGAAAATCGTTTTACGGCTGGCATAGACAAGAGCTCTGAGGAAATAAAAACAGATCATCTCAGTTAACAGCCTGCTGTAGGGATCCCGACCTCCACGTGCTTGCAGACTCCCTCTCAGGACTCCTCCTCCTCGACCCCGCACGCTCCCGCTGGCACCACTGCTCTCCCCATCTGGCTGAGCCCCGGCCGGGCCCCCACGTCCCTGCACTGGGGTCTCCCTGAGCCTGCGGAGCCCTCGGCCACGCTCCCCGTCACAGAACCTTCCCCCCACGCCTCTGCCAGCCCCGGCACCAGGCTCAGCCCCACGCAGGATGCGGTCAGACCGTGGCACGGCCGCAGGAGCACACGGCCAAGCAGCAGCAGCAGCAGCACAGGACAGAGCTCAGGACCCTCCACTGGGAGGGACAGTGCAGCTCAAAACATCTCCTAAGGCAAGCCAAGCAGAGCCAGTCATGAGTTAAAGCTAAGTTAGGTAATTAGGGGACAAACAGACGACCCATGAAGATGTCTCTGCCGTTCTGTTGCTCAAAGCACGTCAGTGCAGAAGGGGTTTTGGGGTGCACTGGTCAGAGGGGTCCTTGGGCCTCTCCTGGCCACGTCCCAGGCCAGGCCAAGCTCCCCCACAGAAACCACGTTGGAA